AGATGGCCTAGGCTATAAGATGATTGCCAAGACCCTGAAACTGAACTGTAGCACTATGGCCATGATAATACAGCAATTTAATAGGACAGGTTCCACTCAGAACAGGCCTCGCCATGGTTGACCAAAGAAGTTGAGTGCCTGTGCTCAGTGTCATATCCAGAGGTTGGCTTTGGGAAATAGATGAATGAGTGCTGCCAGCATTGCTGCAGAGGTTGAAGGGGTGGAGGGGTCATCTTGTCAGTGCTCGGACCATATGCCACACACTGCATCAAATTGGTCTGCAGGGCTGTCATCCCAGAAGGAACCTCTTCTAAAGATGATGCACAAGAAAGCCCGCAAACGGTTTGCTGCAGACAAGCAGACTTAGTACATGGATTTCTGCAACCATGTCCTGTGGTCTAATGAGACAGAGATAAACTTATTTGGTTCAGATGGTGTCAAGCGTGTGTTGTGGCAACCAGGTGAGGAGTACAAAGACAAGTGTGTCTTGCCTACAGTCAAGCATGGTGGTGGGAATGTCAGGGTCTGGGGCTGCATGAGTGCTGCCAGCACTGGGGAGCTACAGTTCATTGAGGAAACCATGAACGCCAACATGTACTTTAACATACTGAAGCATAGCATGATCCCCTTCCTTCAGAGACTGGGTCGCAGGCAGTATTTCAACATGATAACGACCCCAAACACACCTCCAAAATGACCACTGACTTGCTAAAGAAGCTGAGGGTAAAGGTGATGGACTGGCCAAGCATGTCTCCAGACCTAAACCCTATTGAGCATCTGTGGGGCATCCTGAAATGGAAGGTGGAGGTGCGCAAGGTCTCTAACATCCACCAGTTCAGTGACATCGTCATGGAGGAGTGGAAGAGGACTCTAGTGGCAACTTGTGAAACTCTGGTGTACACTATGCCCAAGAAGGTTAAGACAGTGCTGGAAAATAATGGTGGCCACACAAAATATTGACACATTGGGCCCCATTTGGAGATTATCATTTAGGGGTGTTCTCACTTTTGTTGCCTGCAATTTAGACATTAATAGCTGTGTGCTGCATTATTTTGAGGGGACAGCACATTTACACTGCTATACAAGCTGTATACTTACTACTTTACATTGTAGCCAAGTGTCATTTCTTCAGTGCTGTCACTTGAAAAGTTATACTTAAATATTTACAAAATGTGAGGGGGTGTACTCATTTCTGTGAGATACTGTAAGTCTAAGTGCTATTGCTATTGTCCTAATTATATTTCACAAGATTTGCATGTCATTGCAAAGAGTCCACAACTTGTATCTATAGACACAACTGAGAAAAAAATGGCAGATCATTGTCCCTTGAAAAGTAGTGATGTGCCTCAAGCATGGATGAAGCCCAAACTCCAGAGAAGACTTCGGCTGTTTGGGAAAATAATTGCCCTCAAGGTTAGAACAAAATACTCCAGTCCAACCTATTCTTTTCAAAATCCTCAACAGAGTTCTGATCCTTCTCTGTTGTTGCAGTGCTCTCTAGCCTTGCAAATGATGAGATGACTGTAACTAGTTTAAAAGGGGAGGGGGCTTTGGTCACTTCAAAACTGACCATGTTGAGAATGATATTGAGGAAGTAGATTCAGTTCAGTGATCAGTAGGTCTGGCTTCAACTTGTAACTATTCTTGTGGTCAGACCAATTCTTGTTGAATTGGTCTGATCACAATGAAGTATTGTGTTGATTCCTGTATTTTGGGAAGGACAGGGAAAACTTGGAAATAAAACTTGGAAATGAAACCCATGAAATGATGGTATATTAAGAGAGCCCTTCCAGCTGCCTGGCTTTATTATTGTTATTATTATTGTTTTGTTTTTGAGGAAGGTCAAAATGTTCATCTCTTATACAGTATTTCTCATCACCCTCAACCCCTATAATAAATTTGGCTGCATCCAGGAAGATACATACTTTCAATACTTCCCATAATATTTGTCATAACTCTTCCAAAGATTGAGAGGCTCTCTCTGGGTCTCCCAGTGAAGAATGTATCTGTACAATCTTGAGTTCTTCAAGTCAGTGCTAGTTAAACTTCCTATTTTGCTATTACAAGCTTGGAGTAGATTACTAGACTAGAAATGTTGCCTTCCAGAAAATCTCTGTGGAACATTTTGTTCAGTGCTGTGTGCATGCAAGACAGATTTTAAAGTAATTACATCATGTCATTCAACACCAAGTCTGATAAGTGGAGGGATGGCATAACCTTCCAATTCCTGAAAAAGTATCAGGCTCTTTGTGTGGAAAAATAATCCTGGGTTGCTTCTATGGCTACAAATGGTTTGAGAGAGGTTTCAAGAAAAAATGTACCACAAAAGAGAGGATGCTTCAAATGATAAGATCAGTTGAACAGGAAACATTAATGCAACAGTGAGATAGATGTAGAGACAGAAAGTAAAGGGAGCTGAAAGAAATATAAGGAATGGAATCCTTATGTGCCATGAAGGTATAAGTGCCATGAAGTTATAAAGCATGGCATACACTTGAATAAATAAAAGACAAAGAACATCAACCCAAGGCTGAAAGGTGGCCTTCCCCAAACTGTAGTACAATTCCAGTTCTAATTCAGGCAGTGGGAGTTGCAGTTCAGCGCACCCCTAAGATCACAAAAGGCAACATACAATTAGTTATATTCTCCAGAAATAAATAAATAATTTTGGCAATGTGAATGCCAACATTGAAAGTAGGCATTCAGATCAACTCATTGGTTTCCATGAGATTTACCATTCCTCATGCAGTATGTATGCATGTATGATATATGTTATTGTTATGTGTTTCTGACCAAACAACAAACTGCATTATTTCTCAATGTGAGAAGATCCACAGTGAACCCTAAGAAGCAAGATGGTTTAAAATTGCTATAGTGTTGCCAAAGCCAAATAAAACTCATCCATTGTTCTAAGCTCCAACCAACAGAATTGTTGGTAGAACAACTCCAAGCATCTCTAGAGGAAATTGATCTATAGCTGTTTCAGGGCGAGTTTTAGTTGCTCTGATGGATGGTCTGGTAGATGGTACAATTTGGCAATTTGTCTCTGCTTGTGCTTGCATATATCTCAACATCTTCTGACACCACCTGGACCACTTTCAAGAATTGATGGCTGGCAACATGGTTTTGTTACGGTTCTATTTCTATCATCAGGGTAGGTTTTAGATAGGCAAACTGGGGGATTACTGCTTTTTTCTCAGCTTTTACCTTATGGGATGCTACAGTGTTCTACTCTGTGTTCACTGATGTGGCCCATGGACCAATTGCCATAGTAAAACAGTCTACACCCAGTCTACACCTATGCCTATTTCACCTTTCCATTTTCATAAGATTAGGCCAACTCTCTCATGAGCTTATGATGGGCCTAGATAATAAGGCAAGAAATAACAACTATAACCAAAAGATCAGCGATTACAAACCTCGAATTGCACACTACAGGTGGAATCTCCAAATTCAGTTTGATCAGAAACATTTCTATCAATCCATCAAGAGACTGCACTGAACTGGTCAACACCTGCCAGAGGTTTTAAAAAAAGTGCATTGTGGGTACAGCTATGGGACAAGCCAAAGAAGTACAAGAAGCTTGAATAAAGAAGGTGGATAAGTATTTTTTTTTAAAGTTGAAATGAGAGAACTTGCACTAACAGCAGAAATGGTGGAGAAAGGGACAAGGAAAATCAAGAACTGGTCAGCACCAGGTGAAGATGAACCTCATGGTTTTTGATTGAAACATCTGCCTGGTCTACACCCATTCATTGCCAAGCAGTTTAACAACATACTGTAAGGAGGTGAAATTGGAGATTGGTTAACATCTGCCAAACCTACCTGGTAATGAAACGTGCCAGGTAACAGCATGCTACTTACCTGCTTATCAACAACTTTCAATGCTTAAGGGGGAAATCCTGTATTTATTTGCTGTGCCACTGGACTCAAAGGGGCTTTCCTCAGAGCAGAACAAGCGCTATAATTAACCTGAATTTTAGCAATGCAGCTAGGACTGCAGCCACAACAGATGAAATTACAGCCCCCTGAACAATACAGTTCTTGTAGGAAACCCTGTGAGATAAATAGCTTTTTCCTTTAAATTAAAAGTTATTTGTTATGACCACCACCACCACCCCCAGCTGTATCCATGTGACAATTACCCAGTTTAAGTCTGTCCATAGATATTCAAAAACGGGAATATTGGGAAACGGGTGGCGATGGTTTTGCCCTCAACAGCAACCAACAGACTCTCTCTGGGTGCCATCCTAGCATTCGGGAGACGAACTGACTAAAGTCACCCTCATTCCCTCAACAGCTGATTTATTCCCACTGTAACTAGAGAGGAAAGTCAACCCATCTCAAGGGGAGCGGGAGGTGTCAGGCGTTCACTTGATGTTTACATCACCAGAAAGTACTTCCCGGCAGCAGAGTGGGCAGGAACCGTTAGCAGGGCAAGGATAAAGCGGTCTAGGCTCTAGAGCAGGGGTCTCCAACCTTGGCAACTTTAAGCCTGGCGGATTTCAACTCCCAGAATTCCCCAGCCAGCTTTGCTGGGAGTTGAAGTCCGCCAGGCTTAAAGTTGCCAAGGTTGGAGACCCCTGCTCTAGAGCCTCCGCTCCAGAAAAAAAATAAATAACGGCAAACTGTCTTATTAGCGAATACTTTTCTCCCACAGCGACCCCTCCCCCTCAACAAGCTTTGCAAGGACACGAAGATTGCGCGTGGGCTACACTGGACCAGAGAAAGAACAGGACTTGCCGCCCTGCAGGCCCACGTGTCCCGAGCGGCCTTTTTTTTTTGGAGGGGTGGGGTTTGTCTCCAACACCCACTTTTCCCGTTTGGGTCCCGACTAGACCGCCCGCGGGGCAAGACGCGGGAGGGGCGGGGGAAGAGGGGTGACGCCTGCCTCAGGGGCAAAGAATGACGTGGTTATCGCAAGCCGGTCGTTAAAAAGGGGGCTCTCTTCTGTCCCGGCTGTACAGTCGGAGCGCAGCCGTCACGGGGACGAAGTGGAGTGGTGGTGTTTTTGTTTTTCCAGGCGGGCTCTTTGTAAAACGTCGGAAAATGCAACCTTTACAGCAGAACTGCCAACCCGTCAGGCCGTTCAAGCAAAGGAAAAGTTTTGGTAAGCAGCCGGAAACTGAGCTTATAAACCCTACGCACGTCGCGAACGCTTGGGAAATCCGGCTGGCGGTTTATTTTCACCCTGAATTCTGGAGGAAAGCCCGCTAATCTCCGTGGGACGGACCAGCTTCTCTGGGATCAGGGACGGGGGTTGCTTGAAAACACCGCTCGGCCTTTCCACCGCTCTTTGGAGTGGAGAAAAGGAAAACGCCTCCGGGGATCTGACCTCCGTCGGTGGCAGCTCGGCTTTGCAGGGCTGTCCGTCTGAAATCCGCTACCTGCTGCCTTGGGAGTCGAGGTCTTTCACCTCCACGCCTCGTTAGGTGAAAACTAACGGATCTTCTTGTCTTTTTTTTTTTTCTTCCCACAGCCACCCGAGTGGAAGAAGTAGCAGGCATTCGTGAGAAGTTCCCGACAAAAGTTCCAGTAAGCCTCTCTTCATTCCGTCCTCTTCTCTGCTAAATACCCCTAGCATTTGCCTAGTTTCTGGCGTTTGGTTTTTAAAGGGTACCTGACTCTGGGCAGGTTTTCTTTGACCAGCTGTATCGCTGCCTTCATTACGTTCGGTAGATAACAACGAATCTGTTTAGGATTGTCTCCTGCTGATTAGTGGTAGATGCTTCCACTGGTAGCATGTCTTGCTTTCACATTGCTTTTAAAACGTGTTGTGCTTTCTTCTTTTTAAATCAGGTAATTGTTGAAAGATATCAGAAAGAAAAGTACCTCCCCCTGTTGGACAAAACAAAGTTTCTTGTGCCACAAGAGTTAACTATGACACAGTTTATAACCATCATTAGGTATGTAGCAAGCCACAGATGATTTATTATTTGTTGGCTGTCAGTGCTTCTGTGCGCACACCCCCTTGTGCCTGTCTATTTTTGCTACAGGGCTTCTAAAAAAACTTGGGGACTTTGCAGTAATATGGCTTCTGTTACCCAACACCTTTCTGTGACTTTTCTCTCATTGCTATGATGAGGTTCAGTCCTTTGAGATCTCTTGCAAAGTATTCCTCATTATTTGCACAAAGCTATGGTGAGAAAACTATGCTAGATTAATACAGTCCCACCTTTCCCCGCTCCTCTGTTTTTTTTTAAAGCCTGTCCTAGACTGTTTCAACCATGTATCCATCCAAGAAGAGTTTGATACAACAAATGGCCAAGATTTAATGTTAAAAATTATGCAGTCGTGCTTTAAATTTATTTCAATCTGTTTTTATTCTCAGCTAGTTTTCCCCAGTCCTATGTAGTCCAGACATGTTCAGTTTTCAATTCCAATATGGACATCAGCCCAAAGTATAGGGAAAGTACTGGTTTAAGGAAAGCTATCCTAAACGCATGTGCATATCTTGAAATAAATATTGATATTTTATTCTTCAGAATCTAGGATGTAACTATGAATTTTTGATTTGGAAAAATGGATTCTTTATTAATTCCATGTAGTAATTTACTTTTAAATTTTCCTTCATTTTAAAAATTGCTTTCTCTGAGCTGGCGAGGGCATTTAAGTATAAATCCAAAAAGCCTTCAGGTCTGCAGAATTAGTTGCATAACATGATTTTTATCTTGGCTCTACTGCTTCAAGAACTCTTTAAGCTCCTATGACTATTGCTGGCATCAAATTTGATTAGAATCTCTTATAGCCAAGTGAAATAAGGCAGTACTACAAAGTGAGATTACAGAAACTTGGAATGTTTATGAACTGCCACTTTCTAGGCTTATCCAATATGTGCTCCCCAATAGAATTTCACAAATAGTGCTCAGAATATTTAATCTTCACTCATTCAATTCTGCCTACAAGAGTATGATCCTTGGAATTATAAAAAAATATTTAAAAAGTTTTGATTAAGAAGTACGCTACATTTTTTTAAAAAATGATATGCTTATTGCTTTGTGGCTCCACAAAAAAGTAGTGTGCATTTAAGCAGCAAAATAAAATTAGCTAAAATTAGTGTAAAATGGCAAGGAACTCCACCCTCAACCTCTCCAATCTCTATACTCTTGGAACAAGTTGATTTATCTTTGCTGTTTGTAACCTTCCTATACCATCCTCACTGTGGAATCTAAACACCTATAATAAATGCCTTAATGACAAGCAAGCTAAATAAATATCTGAGAGGCAATTTCATGGAGAGGTTAAGGCATCTGGCTAGAAACCAGGGGTCTGTGAGTTCTAGTTCTGTTTTAGGCTCAGAGCCAGCTGGGTGACTTTAGTGCCAATTGCTGTCTAGGAAGGAGGCAAAAGCACACCACTTCTGAAAAACCTTGCCAAAAAAACGCAGGCAGTCAACTAGGCGTCAAAAACTGACTCAAAGGCACAAAATAAATAAACAGATACTAACGTTAATATAAATGTAAAAAAGCTACACTAAACACGGTTAAGCTTATCCCAGAAAAATGGAATGCATGCCTGTTCTTGGATAGTCTGGACAACTTAAAAACCCATCTTCTTTCTTCCCTTCCCCTTTCAAAGTACAATATGAAGTTTTCTGGTGGCAACTTTGCACTTGACCATGTGTCTAGCTAATCTACTATCTATCTACTATGAAGGAACTTGCATCTTTTAGAAAAATGTCTGTTTTCTTTGTTAATCCAGAAGCAGAATGGCATTGAGTGCCACCCAAGCTTTCTACCTGCTGATAAACAACAAGAGTTTAGCCAGTATGTCTTTCACTTTGGCTGAAGTATACCGAGACTACAAAGATGAAGATGGCTTTGTATACATGACATATGCTTCCCAGGAGATGTTTGGAGATCTCATAACTACTTCCAAAGTAAAATGTAAGGCATATCTCCTAAAAAGATAAGTCTTCTCTTGGTGACAATGTGGCTGAACAGCGAGCTGTACATCATTCAGATTACTTGAAGATGAAAGTTGCTCTGTCTAACGTGGGCTCTTCTCCAAAATTAATGGCCCAGGAGTTGACAGGACCTAACTAAAGAACTCAGGAGTGGGATAAATGATCCCAAACAAATGACATGGATACATAGTTTCATAATTTGGCTCCTTGCCAGCCAAAGAAGTTAGTAGTAATACGCTTCAGTGTTACCCTTAAATCGGGTATCTGCTTTAAAAATGGTTACCGTAATTGGAGATGAGTGAAAATGATGAAATTTTATAACCAAGTTAAATGACCTGGACACAAATTGTCTGCTTAACAGAGAATAACATGTGCATTAGAGAGTAGCACGCTGTCATAGTTAGCTGAACATTGCAAGGCTGAGCCAGCGTTGGCTTTTATATTGTCTGCTTTTATCAAAGCCATTTGCTTTCTTCCTCCAAGAGGAATATTGCTGATGAGGTATGGTGGCACTATAGATTTTACAGGACAACGTCTTTCCACAGACTAGAAGTCGCTCCCTTTACTGAATTGTGACAACTACACAGAAGCGGCTTGTAAAAATGAGACTAATAGGGTGGAATATAATGGACTCTAATGCTGGGAAAGGTGGAAGGAAAGAGGGCAACCTGCAGCAAGGTAGATAGACTCAGTTACCGTAACAATGAGCGTACCATCAGAGTTCCTGAGGGACCAGGTTAAGAACAGATTATCATAAAGAAAATCTGTATGGTCACCAAGAGTTGACAACAACTTGATGGCATGTAATCATCAGTCCTTCAGAGAACTTTATTGCATGCACACATTCCTTAGATATCAATAGCTGAAAATTAGTAAGTGAGTTGTGTTGGGGGTAGGGGTGACTGTGTGTCAAGTAATGCAAGAACACAGCTGCTTAAATAGGAACGCAAATTCCTATATGGCATCTCACAATTATTTAGCTTGTATGTGACTAACTCCGCTCTGGTGCTGAGGCAGCAACTCCAGAAGCTAGAACAGTAGCTTTATCACAAGGCTGTGTTCTTGCCTTTTGAACTCTGCTCTGAGCTTTAACTTTGATTGAAGATAAGATTATAGTATAAAGATGAGCTGTGTGGGTGAATATGCATGTGTAATTGTGTATGTATGTGTGTGCTATAGAGTCTTACGTTTCATTTCATAAGTGCACCAGGATTACAAGCTACTTAGTCTAAAGCCAGCTAATAAAATCATGCCTTTGAGACTCTTGTATCAATGCCATACTTAAGATAATTCTATCTCAGTAGAATTGACTTAAGGTTGCCTTCAAATTAAAATCCTGCTGGTACCTCTCACTGTCCAGATGACTTAGAAATCTTGGAGAGTTTTGGAAGGAACACACAGCAGAGTTGCTGGTATTCAAATCAAAGAATACTGTGAGTTTTACCTGCAACATAGACAGGAAGACTGAGATATATTTCATGTCCAAAATAGTGATTTTGAGGAGTCATTTGTTGTAATGTGAAGAGAAATGTTGATCTGGTAAGACACAAAGCTTTATTTGATGGACAAATCCTAGCTCACATGTAAAGAAACCCAGGCCCCCCCAACTTCTGGTCCCTGGACTGGCACCAGGGCTGTGCAAACAAGCAAAGTCCCATCTGCGGGATGCAGGCAGCACACCAAACCATGCTCCCTCCGGTCCGTGGAAAAACCTCTCTCCACAGAACCGGTCCCTAGTACCCCAAAAGTTGGGTGCTGCTGCCCTAATCTAATTTAAGAATATTTTTTATCCAGTTATATTTGATACTTTTTTATGAAGTGAAAATGAATCTATACCTATTGAAAAAAATTAGAGCGATAACTCACACAATCAGGTTTTTTAAAAAAACTATCTATCCTTTAAAATTGTGTTTCTGTGGATATCCTGTATATATGAGTAGTGCAACAATTTCTTGTGCATTTCTAAAAATGGCATGCTTTTCTGCTTTAACAAGATGACACAGTTTCATTAAAGTAAATGCTTTTCTCTAGTCCATATTTATGGCTGCGCCTGCAGGAGGGGTGCACGTTTTAATATGTATTTTGTTAAATGCCTTTTGCTATTTTGTGACACAAACTGCTTTTTGATCAACTAAGGGAGCGTTTAGCCATTATGGCATTTAAGACAATATCTGTTTGGCAAGACCAACATTTAATATTAATAGAATTACTGCAAGAATGTCTGTAAAATATGATGCCTCAGAGTAGCTGAAACATAATTTCTCCTGAAGGGACTTCTCACTTGCAACAATTTGTAGCTTGTTTTTCTTTCTTCTTTTTCTCGAAGAGTCAAATAGTAGGTTCAAGCTATTAAGTGTACTATTTTTGGAATGATTTGCTCTTCTTTCTTGAGAGTAAAAGAATGAAATATTGTGATTTCATTATGAAAATAATGTACTGAAGAGAAATTAAACAATATATAACTAAAGGACTCTGGTTGAAATTTCTTGAAACTCCCAAAATGACATGTACAGTATTAAATGTAATACACGTCAATAGGTTCTAATGATACTGTAATAATTTGTTAAATATGTATGCTGCCCAACTTGAGTTACTTTGGATCATTTACAAATGGTGAACATTTAAAATAAGAATTCTCCCCCTGTCCCCAAAAATAAAGATAACAGAAATGTGTAAATGTGATGGGAACAAAGGGGGGAAAGTGTGTGTGTGGGGGAGAGGGTTCTTCAGTTATGCTTTCCAAAGGCTTGGGCAATGAACCAGGTCTTCAGCGCCCTTTGGAATCCCAACAGAGCAGAATCTTGGGGGGAGGGCGGAAAATGACATTCTATACAAATTGTATGTAAATACTCGGTTTGATTACATGTGTGAAGGTAGTATAAAAGCTGGGTTACGAAGGAACTGAACAATACAAATAGAATGTGAATGCATGCATGCATGAATGAAGGTCTTCTTAATAGAATAACAGAATCAGAAGGGACCCTGGAGATCTTCTAGTCCAACCCACTGTTTAAACAGAAAACCCTATACCATTAGCAATATATCTTTATATACTTACACCATATACTTATATCCTTATAAGGGTAGGATTATATGCAGTTGAAAGAGAAAGCACTGGTGTGTTATCCAAATTTGGTTGATCATTGGTAGTCTAACACTATGTTCAATTTAGAGATAACTTATGTTCTACAATCAGTAGTAGTTAATTACTGAAAAATTGGACGGTTCACCACAGGAACTGAAAACCATTGATTAATGGATCGAAATGGATTGTATTCTATTAGAAATGTAGGGAAAAGAATAATCTAAGCCTGATACAAATTGTTACCTTATCCTATTTAAATTATCATAGCTGCTCTAATGTCTAGATTTATTGCCATTTTTAAAAGGGAAGGCGCTGGGACATCCATTGGAAAATTAAAAAAACAAAGAATGCAACTTTGTAATAGACACCCCACTCCTTCCATATGCATGTTATGACTATTTTAGAAAATATGAATAATGATATATATATTCAACCTTTGAAAACTACCTGGAAACCTTAGTTATTTGATAGTAGTGTTCTGCAGACTTCTAAACATATTTTACATTCAGTAAGCTTCCACATAACTATTGAAAGCGGAGTTCTTTAGGAGAACCTTTGAAATATATAATGCTACCATAAATTTGTTCATTTATTTATTTTGATTTGCTTTTGATTTGGATACTTTTATATGTTTATATTTTTATTACTATCATAGTATGCTATAATAAAATTCTATTATAATGTATTTGATGACTACATTGTAAATTGCTGGGAATTGGTACAGATCAGTGAAAATAAAATATTTTCAGGAATGGGCAATAACATACTCATAACATACAAGCACATCCCCATCAGTAGCCAATATTATTAGGGGAAATATCATATTACTATATGTGAAACAACAGCAGGGGAACTCTTCAAATTCTGCTATAGATTACAAGACCAAACGAAAGACTTTCAAATTCTCCTGAATTCTTCAAGTCATATGGAAAATAGAGCTAAATTGTACAGAATATATTGGAGGAAGAAAGGAGGAGACTGAAGTGACAGAATGTGTACATTTAGTCATTGTTTTAGAATAAAACCTGTAGGAATATATTCAAAATATTTTTTTTTAGACACTGAGGTAGTTTCAGTTTGTACTAAGCTATACATAGAGTTGTTAAATGAAGAAACAAAGAATGATTGATTCCTCCTTTTTTAAAAAACAAAGTTGTAGGAGCTTTTTCAATACAGGTAATCCTGGACTTACAACCTTTTCATTTAGTGACCAAAGTTACAACAGCACTGAAAAACATGACTTTTTCACACTTAGGACTATAGTCATGTCTTGGGATCATGTGATTATTTGTGAACTCACAAGCAAAATCAGTGGGGAAGGTAGATTCACTTTACAAACGTGTTATTAACTGTAGTGATTCACTTAACAACTGAGGCCAGAAAGGTCATAAAATAGGGCAAAACTCACTTAACAGCTATCTCACTTAGCAACAGAAGTTTTGGCTCAGTTTTGGTCATAAGCTGATGATTAACTGTATTTAGACAAAACACATAAGTTTGCAAGAACCAGAAATAGAATGTAATATCTGTCTGCCTGCTTATATCAGGAGATCATTTTAAATGGGGCAATTTAAAAAAGTTTGCATTCAAATTGCATTGCTTTACCTACTGCTCAGAGGGAATATACAGTATTTGGGTGCTAGACAACTATTTTACTTCAGCTATGTGAAATAGCAACAAATTTATTTCTAAAATGAAGAGCTCTGCAGGATAATAATGGCAAGAAACCACTATTGTTAAGACATCAGTTTAAATGCATTCTGAACCCGTGGCTGGCTCAGCAATTAACTCTTTAAATTGCTTAGGGTATTTTTAGAAAATCCTCACTTGACAAGGCTTCAGTGATGTAGAAACCTTTTAAGTATTGATCAGAAGATTTTGCTAATGAACAGCAGCAGCTGCACCCATAGTGGTTGTTCTGCTTCTGCTGCCTGTACTTTTGCCTTCATGACAGAAGTTCACAGATGGATCAGGGAGTCAGATGTACAAGGTAAAAGGAGCGAATGAGCACAGCAGTACATTTTTCCCCCAGAGACAATGCAGATAACAGACAAGATGGGGTCCTACTTAGTTTTTGGGATGCTGCAGAATAGAATGCATTTTAATTTAATTTTAAATATGATTTATGATATATTTATTATAAAATCATAATATACCTCAATAATATATTTAATTCTCCTCGTGTTACAAAAATAAACTACATCAACCAACTCTAATAAAGGAGAATATTTGTAGCTCAGGGTTGACATAAAGGGGTCCTTGGTGCTCTCTGAGATTGCTTGTGCTTTTGCAGACATTTAATTACCCAAACTATGTAACATCAACAGTGCTAGTCACTGAATTAGTCTAGCACTGATGGTGTTACCTAGTTGGATAATGAAACATTGGCAAGAAAACAAGCAAGCTCAGAGAGCACCAAGGACCCCTCTTTCACTCTCTTTTCTTAATTCTTTCATGCCAAAAATTACTCTTCTATTTTCTCCACATAGTATTCCCCAATTACCTGCTACGATGAAGAAATTGCCTTAGAGATGACCCCAGCTGATTGATCAATAAGGCTATTCTGTTTATAAACCTTAGTACAGAATGAAACAGCAAGCAATTTAGCTACTGAGATTACTTCAGTTGGAAAGGCAATGACCTTGGTAGCTAGCCAAATATTTTAAATGAGTCAGGTGCAAAAAGGAGTAGAAAATAGTTATTAAAATAGCTGAGCTGAGCTAAAAATAAGCCCCCAGAATCTGTTACAAGCCCTTTCTACTCTAAAGAACAAAAATCTTGTTTACTGCTGATCTTTCATATATTGGGGAAACAATAGGTGAGCATTGACAAACATGTTTCAGGATGGGATCCAGAAATCTCGCCAATAAAATATTTTTAGGCAGAATTGCAGAGCTCTGTTCTATCAAAAATAATGATACTCAAGAAGCATAACTGTGAAATAAGGACACTTAGCTACAGTTTATAGTTCTTTTCCAATAACTCCAGTATTAACTAAAGAGCATCTGTATAGCAACATTGATGACTAGGCTTTTTTTTAAATGCAAGAAATCCCTCAAAGGTATTAAAACAAAAGATCACAGTATGAAAAAGAACAAAAATATTAAATTCTTCCAAATACCTCAAAGGAAAGTGATAAACATTCTGGACAAAAAAAAAGTGGAAAAGATAAATCCAGTCTAGAGAACAAGACATGCAAGAACTGTCCCAGAGGTCTGAGACAGGTTCATGATGTGATTCGAAATCTGTGCTATGCTTGCTGAATCAAATCCAAGAATCATTACATTGTTTTAATATATTTCTTACTAGTTACTGTATGGCACGTTTTGCCTAAAGAGACTAACAACCCTTTTTTTTTAGCACTCAGCAATGATTAATGTTCTTTAATTGCCTTAAGACAATATCTATCATAAACTTATGCAAAGGATTATTTTTTCCCATTCCATTAACACCCTATCTTCATTGGCTATCCAATTTAAAGACATTGCAAGGGTTGATTATTTACTCTCTAATTATTAACCCATACTGAGCGATAGTAAAATTCTCTTCACATAAAGTCGCTGAGATTTTTTTTAGACAGAAAGCTATATTTGCCCACTGAACTATCTTACCATCTATTTATATACATATTCGTTCAAGCCTCCTACACAGTCTAACAGAGCCAACATTCCTGGAAATGGCAAACACTGTGCTCAAGGAAAAGCAAGCAACAGACCCACCAAGATTGCTTCTCTCAATGGTCTTTCTGCACAGCAAGAGAATAACAAAATACATTTAAAAAGAATGTTGAAAATATGGGTTCTATTATCCAAGAAGCAGATACTTTATATGCCAGCAACTTCTTTATTTACAGTATATCATAGGTTGTCCTCATTCTCAGAAAGAAATTGAATGGAATATAGATTTCTATATTTTCAAGAATTCAGCAAGTTCCTCCTCCAACTCATTCTACCTTTCAAAGTATTCCAAGAGAACTTGCTCCTATAGCAAACTCTCATTAAAATACGTTTTAATGGTGAAGCAGGGATTCTAGACCTGATTAAAAGTTCTGATTGACACAGCGTTACCCAAGCTAACTTATTTTTGGTACACTTATTTGGATAACTGTGAGCTGGAAAAAAAATAGTAGGGATGTAAACTTAGACAAACTTAACAAGTTAACAACTTAACATGTTAAGATGACATGCTGTGTTAGAGTGTTTCTGAATGTGAAACTAATTAGGTTACTTGAAGTGCCACCCTATGCCTTGGCTGTCTTGAAATGGACTAGAAAATGGCAGATCTTGCTTATAATTGTCTACTTCCCATGC